TGGCTCCGAGTCCTGCTCTCACTAATCATCAGCCCAGCGGAGTGGTTCCCATGTTGGACTCTAGATTCCTTACCTTATCTCTAAGGCCACATTCCGACACTAAAGTTTTAGGGCCCCGATTAGGACCAGCTAGGGTTAATTGGGGGGACAAGAGATATCTGGGGTCTGCACAGAGTTTGCTTCACTGAGTGGCATGGGGTCAGGATGGTCCTCTAACACCTGATAATTAAAGGGTGCAAGGTAAGAAGGGAATCAAGTAAAAGACAATTGTTAGTGTTTCTTCTCACGATTGCAGAGCCAGATCCTTGGTGGGATCCTGTCACAGAAATCTAGACGCATGGTAACCCCTGACCACAGGTTAAGACCAGGGTAAATGCTGATTATTCTGATTAAAATGTAAAAAAAAAAAAAAAAAAAGCTTGAAATAATGATACACATGCCCTTGACACGTATATAATGTAAATCAGTGATATTCAGATGGGGCCCTTTTGTGGGTAACCTGCAGCTCTCATAAGCCCTCAAATGTCCGTGTTTCAATAATCCACTATCCTAGACTCTGCAGGGCATATAGCAGTCATGCGGCTCCGTCAGCTAATGATGATTGCAAAAGTGGCTCCCGAGTCACATAACTGAACACCACTGGTGTAAATATTTAATCTTGCTTATCTATGTGGAAATTCAATGTTGCGGTTCTACCGTCTGTCTGTCTTTGATATGCTCATCCACATAAATGTCTGTCTTAGACTGCAAGTTTTAGAGGGCTGGGAGTGCGTTTAAATTGCCTTAATGGCATGATACAGAGATTCCCATATGGATAGATACTTAATAAATGCATTTTTTTTATCTTGAGGAGGAAAAAGAAAGAAGAAATTTCTGACTTTATCTCTTTCTCTATGGCTTCTCTCTCTCTAATAACTGGCCTTCTATCAGATTCGACATTGAAGCTGGAAAATGGGCCCGTCCCTTGAGCAGCGCATCTCTCCTGGGGACCATGGGCTCTGGGCAGCAGCGATAGTTTTGCCAGTGGTGACTTCACAAGGGATGCTTGTCGCCACTCGGAGGGAGAGGGAGGCCTCCACATTACCCTAGTCTTTACACAGGAGGAGAAGGGCTTGGAGGCCAAGACCCATGCGGCTGCCTGCTTTGGAGGTGGCACAAATGCGACAGTGCACAAGCACACCCCTTGCTTGCTTCTCTTCTTTATGGCACCATAATAGCTCTTGAGTGTCATTTTCTCCTTTTCCCAGGGCTGTCTGTAACCAATCACAGGGGCAATGGCTAGTACTAAAACGACTGGAGATGGAGATAGAATGCAAGGCTGGGCTTTACACACCTCCTTAGCGGAACAGGCAGGCTGGATTGCATGAGTCTCCTCCTCTCCCCTTTCTGGAAACCCTTAGATGGCTCACAGCTAGGCCATGCCAACAACAGGAGGTCTGCAAACAATGCCCGATACCATTCTGTGAAGTATCTAGACTCAAGAGACTCACAAAAGAAGACTCTCATTTGCCCTCAAGCTTTGAGCCTCACCGTTTCACCCACTGGTGACCTCCACATTGCTAAGCCCAATGACCAGCTTTGAGTGCTCACCCTGCTTGGCCTCCAGGCAGCATGGACCCTCCTTCACTTTTCCTCCTGTCTGTCTGGCCATACCTTTCTAAGTCTCCCTCGCTGGTTCTTCTTCATCACTCCTGTCTCCAAACGTCACTGGGGCCCAAGTTCTTAGGATGCGTCCCACATCTGTCTACATTATGCCCTACTCTCACAGCTAGGTGAATGTTGACTCTGCGAATTATAATTCTGTCCCAGACTTTTCCTCAGACTCAGATTTATCCCAGTTGCTCACTCAACATCTCCACTTGGAAGTCTAATGGACATTTCAAACTAAAAGGTCCAAGATGGTTTTCCTGATACTCCTGCCCTAACATCTTTTCTTGTCATCATCTTCCCTAAATCAGTAAATGATGATTCTACTCTTACTACTGTTGAGGACAATCACCTTGGAATCTTCCTGACTTCTCTCTTTCTCACACCCCATATCTGGTATGTCAGCAAATGATGCCATTCTGGAGCCTGAGTGCACCACCCCATGTTACCAGGATAAAGCACCATCTCTTGAGTCAGTAGCCTCCTACCTGGCTCCCTGTGTCACCCTTGCTCACTTTCATCTCATTCTGCACATGGCAGCTGGGGGGATCCTGTTAAATATGTGTAGGTCATGTCACTTCTTAGCTCGAAACCACCAGGAGCTTCTTGGCTCGCCTCTGGTGAAAGTCCAAATTCTTACAATGATTTTCATGATCTACTCCTTGGTTAACCTTGAACCTCATCTCCTACCACTGTCCCTGTTATTCACTCCTCCCTGGTCACATTAGCCTCCCTTCTGTTTCCAAGTCAGCCTCAAGGCCTTTCCATGAGCTAGTCCCTCTGCCCAGAATGCTCTTTTCTCAAATATCTATATGTTTCTTTTCCTTATTGCCTTCAAGTCTTTATTCAAATGTTACCTTTTCTGTGAGGTATTTCCTGGCCACATCTCAACACTTCTGTCTCCCTCTCACTGTTTTATCTTTCTCCACAGTACTTGTTACTTTGTCACTCTCTTACATACTATTTAATTTATTGTCTGTCTCCCCACTAGAATATAATTTCTACGAGGGCAAGGAGGTTTGACTATTTTGTTCATTGCTATATCCCCAGTGCCTAAAACAGGGCGTGGCACAGAGTTGCCCTTAATTGATGGATGGATGGAGGGAGGGAAGAAGGGAAGAATGAACGAACTAGAATATATTTTTGTATATAATTTTACTGGCCACATCATTTGCTCTAATTACTTAGAGAAATGCTTCCCCACTATGCCCTTTCTCTCTCTTGTCTTCCCAACCCCTGTTCCTTCTACTTCCTCAGTCGTTTTGTAGCTTTTCCTAGAAAAAAAATGAGTCTTTGGGCCCCCTCTTGGTAGGACCAGCTACCACGGAACGTGCCATTGAACTTTCCCTGTGCTGAAGCCAACTCTGTCTCACTGGTGCATCTCGTTAAGTGCTGATGGGGATTCTGCCCGGAAGTTGCCAGAGCCATCGATGAAGAGTGATAATACCTTTTTTCCTTAAAAGACTACGTAATCTTTGAACTGAAAAGAACTGGCAAATACACTAACCTGTAATCTTTTAGCAATTTCAAAGGCCAAGATAGTACTTTAATTGAGACACACGTGTAATTTGTAGCAGCACTTCTCCCCTTGTATTTGTTTTGAAGGGCAAACTATGAAGTTCTGAAGAAGAGAATATACTTCCTAAGCCATAGACTTGCCTTTCCTGCAGATCTGTTAGGTTGCCAGTTCCTTAATAATTTAATCACATCAACTCTGCTTGTAATTGGACTTCCCCAGTAGACAGTCCTTTGGACCCGTTTTCTGGCTCCATTCCTAAGTCTCTCACATTCACTTCATTGCAAGTGTTATTTTTTTACTCTCTGTATCTTGCTTTTTTGGATACTTATTCTCTTGCTCCATCCCCTAGAACTGTTCCACCATCATCCCCACAACTGAAGGAGCCAGGCTCCCATTCCATCCTCCTAGGACAGGTTGACTGAGGACAAGAAGCAGACCTGAAAGTGTCCTCTAGCCATGAGGTGAGAGGCACCACAGTCTCCAGGGTCCAATTGCATCCATATTTGAGCTTATGAAAATGTGGCAGAGACCCTGTCCATTGGGGTAGGCAGTTCAGTATGCTCTTCCCAAAGCTTAGCCAGAAATGTGGGTACATGGGCTTTGTCAATGTGATCTGCTCTAGCAGCAGAGAATACTCCATTCTGGAAACTCCCTGGAATTTATTCACTTCATGGGCAAGGCAGGGAAGCAGCATACTTCTCCTTGGAAGCTCTTGCTTTAGCCAGAGAACAGAATAACTATATGTCTCTGTGGATGGCAATTAATTGCTAAGCAAGTAGTGGATACTGCATATTTTTAATAACACGGTAAGAAGCATGCTCATCACCATTAATCAGGAGTTAGGGGCTCCACCTGACTTAAGGTGAAGAGAGGAGCCAAGATGACAATTCCTGTACCTTAGAGGTAAGCTTCTCTGTCATTCACAGGCCAGCTTATTTATTCACCATACCATTCAGTCCACGAATCAACTACTCCACAGTACCATCAACAGTATAATACAAGCTGCCAGGCATTTTTCCAGAAAGACCCTCAGTGGCATCATTGCTCACCATTACAATCCATCAAAGGTGTTGTCTTCCAACTTGCAAAACTACTTAGTAGAGCATAAAGGTCTCCTTAGGTTATTAAATTATGTTGTTATGAGTCCCTTGTTGTTTGTGTGTTTTAATTTTGTATTTTCACCTTGAGCAGAGTTATCAGAAAGGGAACAGTTGATAGATGTATTAAATCAGTCTCTGAAATGAGGGAGCAGAGATTCTATTCTCTATTCACATCTTTGACTGTCTTCTTCCTTTTTCCCTCCACCTGCTCCTTCTCCCAGATTCCCAGTTAGAACTCAGTTACTAATGAGTAGAAACATACAGAAACTAACTGGGGAGTTTGAATACAATGGACATAATTAATGCTTGCTCATAAGGACAAGAACCTAGACTCACATATTTATATATATATGTGTTAGGATATATATTCCTACATTCCTACACCATAGGGATTTTAAAACTCTAATGGGAAGACCATAATCTGCCCCTTGCCCAAAGAGATGGAGCCTGGAGGAGGATGTCTGATTAAAAAAAAAAAAAAAGAGTCCACCTTAGCAAAATCTCAACTGTCTTTTAGAATCTTTGGATCTAAAAGGAATATGAGGCTTTACAGATCAACAGCAATTATTTCACATCTGCGACTAATTTCTATGAGTAGAAATGACTGCAATCAATGCATTTGTTATTCCAGGAAGACAAACTGTAAGGATAAATTGGTGGTAGAAGGTCTCCCTGTTCTGGCCCCTGTCTCCTCCCTCTTCCAGAACCCAGCCCAAGACAGGATGGCTGCTCACTGTTTCGGGGCTTCTCCTCATCCATGCCTTCATCCTCATTCTCGGGGTCGATGTCCTCTGCCTGGGTGATCCAGTCCAGGTAGCCCTTCAGGTCCTCTTCCAGCTGCTGCTTCTCTCGAAGCTTCTGGAAATCTCCCCGAGCCTTGGCCTTCTCCCTCTCTTTGGAAAACTCTCTGGGGAGTGAGAGCAGAGGGGCAGGGCAGGGGAGTGCATGAGGAGGAGGAGAAGAAGGAGGAGTAGGAGTAGGAGGAGGAGGGCCAGGTGGGCGAGAAGGAGAGATGGAGATAAGAGGAAACAAAGGGATTAATTTCTTCACACCAGGAGACCCGCCCACCTGCCCCTGCTTTCCACAGACAGCCTTCTCTCCTCATCCCAGGCTTTGTCTTTATTCTCACATAAACAGAAAGTCACCGAAGCGGACATTCTTGACACAGGCCACTGGAGTACAAAGGGATGGATGAAGTCCATTTCCCTTATTCTTGGATCATGGTCACAGCCTTTGCCTTTTAATAACAACTATTCTCCAGTGACCTGGAAACCCCTTTCAAACAGTCACTAAAAAACCTCCATGACAGTTATGGACTGTGCATTTTCATTTCCCCCCGGAATTGGGTGGCCACTGGAAAACCTCAAAGCATCTCTGGGTGACAAAGGCGTTAAGGGCCGGTGGTATGCTGAATCCCGCTCACCCGCACTGGCTCCTGGGAGCCCACCACACACGGCTCTTTGTTCCTCTAGCTTCACTGATGTCTCCTTGTGGCTTGAAATTGGCCATGGTGGGAATATTTACACCACGGAAATTGGCAAATGCTACAAACTAGGGCTTTTTGCTCCCCAAAGAGCTAATTGGTAAATATTTACCAGTACACCACTGATTTGAGGCCCAGGAGATTCAACTACCTCAACCTCTCTTCTCATTACTAGAGTTTGTTTTGCCACTTTTAACATGCCTGGAAGGATTTCTAATCTAGAGAAAGTTCTTCCCCACAAGGAGACAAATGAGGACTCTAAACACAAGAAAATGTCCTGGGGCCTGCCCTTTTGGTTAAAAAAGAAATCTAATCAGACTGGAAAAATACATAAAAGCAAGATGATATAAAAGTTAAATGATGCATTCAGTTTAAAGTAATAATGAGTAGAAATTGGAATTGGATTGGGATTTGCTGGAAGAAGGACCTGTTAAAAATTTTCTGACAGAATGAGTATTTCTTTCCTATTTTTTGATTCTGTCCTGATTTTCAATCTGACTTCAAATTCACTTTCTGAGCAAGGAAGGGGGGCTGGCAGCAGAACGTAATGACCAAGAAGGCTAGTTCTCAACTCTCAAAGCAAGTTTGTGTTTTTTCTTCCAAAATAGGTACATTAGGAGCATTTTGGTCTTTGATATTCAGTTTATGGGAAATGGGGCCCTCAGTGGTGTGTGTGTGTGCATGTGTGTGTGTGTGTGCACGCACACATGCGTGTATATGAGAGAGAGTGGGACATGCGCTGGGCATCTTGATTAATTCATAGAGACGTGATTCCTCCTTCTTTCACTAGTACAGGTCTAGTTCAGGGCAGGAGGTTGTAAAAACCACCTTGAAGGAATTTCTTGAAAGGCATCCTGGAAGGAAGGACACAGCAACAAACCACAGGTAGGCAAAAGCTCCCGAATCCATTCAGTCATATAGGGGTGGCTCTATCACCACCTCCACTATCTAGTATTTGCATTTTGCTTGTGCTGCTTAGGAAAGCACAGATTTTTAGCATTCACCATTTTTATGGATAAAAAGGTGTTAGGACTGGGAGTGGTGTAGGGAATGTTTTAATTGGGAGATGTGGGGGCTCTCAAGCTAATGAGTTTTCTTCAACTGCTGTCTTAATGATGCTCTGCTTTGCATGGAATTTTCTTAAATTTGATTGAATCCAATTCTAATTGGATTGAACTTGCTCTTTCTCCGGCTTCCTGCCAACTGGCGGGTACCTTCATTTCCTTCCCAGGGAGTTTAATGCCAGGGAAAAGGGACCAGATTGACAGCTCAAAATGAAGATGGAAGCTTTGCCTTGCTTTGTTCCCTCCCTCCTTTTGCTGTTGGGGATGAGCATGGATAGATCCCCTATATCTGGTCATACCACCTAGGCTGTAGACTCGCTCTCTGGAGACAGTCACTTCATACAGCAGTTCCTTCCCCATGCAAATTGACTCCAACAACTGCGTTTCCATTTCTGCCCACATACATTTGCATTCTCCATTTCTTTTCTGTGGCGTGGGTTTGGGGTTGTAAGGGGACTGAATAGAGGAGGGTTCACTTTAGCTCTTTTGGATTATTTCGCAGAGGGCTTAAGTTCTAGTTACAAAACAATGACCCATCCTTCTTCTGGAGTCAGGAGAACAGGGTTGGGATCAAACTGGGATAGGAACATTTGACCCAGTCCTGTGTTACAGCATCCGCCCTGTGGAATGAAAGCTCATCATCCATACCTGAAGACTCTGGGGAACTAATATAAACATTTACAAGGAGAAAAGAAAATGAGGTTGTGTTGGGGTGTGAGGGGAATGGAGGCAGGGTCAGATCTGAAGCCCTGCTGGCTCCCATTGGCTCCCATGCAGTGAGGGGCATAACTCTGCTTGTGGCTGGATGGAAGGTGAGCCAAGGTTTCTTTCTCCAGACTCCACACAGTAAGGGATTTGCTGGGTGGTGGTATCTGGATCTCTTTATCTCCTTGCCTGGATGACAGCCATGTGCCTGCTCTGGGGACTGAGCTAATGAAGACATGAAGCCCTAGCCTGATGGGCTGTGCTGGGCCCAGGGACCAGAGCTGGCTAGACAATCAGTCACAGCCATGGGATTTGTCATAAGGCAGGAGTACAGCTCTTGCCAGCAATGGCCAACATGAAAAATGAGGGGTGGAATGGAGAGCTGGGGGCCAGTGCTGAGTAATGTAAAGCATGCTGAGGGAGGTATATGTGGGAAATCCAATCAATACAGAAGGCTGGGGCTCTAGGCCCTCTGATGAACAATACAGTCGATTCTCATTATTCATAGATTCCGTATTTGCGAATTTGCTTACTCACTAAAATTTATTTGTAACTCCCAAATTGATACTTGTGTGCCTTTGTGGTCATATGCAGACATGTGCAGCATGGCAAAAAACTGGAGTCACATAAGCAGCTGAGGTTAAACACAGCTACACTCTGCCTTCTTGTTTCAGCTCTCACACTGTAAACAAGTGTATTTTTTATTATCTCTTTAGTGCCATGTTTGTCACATTTCTGTGCTTTTGGTTGGTGGTTTTTCTGTAAAAATAGCCCCCAAGCACAGTGCTGAAGTGCTGCCTAGTGTTGCTAAGTGCAAGAAGGTTGTGATGTGCCTTAGGGAAAAAGTACACGTGTTAGATAAACTCCATTCAGGCATCAGTTATAGTGCTGTTAGCCATGAGCTCAATGTTAATGAATCAACAATAAATATTAAATAAGATGCCTTTAAAACACATAAAATAAAGTTGTGTATTGGTTGGTTGACAAAAATACTGTGACTAGAAGCTCACAGGATTCTTGCATTTCTCCTGTATTTCTCCCAAGAGTCCAAGAGTAATGGTTTAGTATTCATTAATTCAGTGTTCATAGTGACCTCATAGAATATAACTACACAGATAATGAATATGACTATAGATGTTGCTGTCTCTTCTGCTTCCACCCACACAGAATGCATGCCCTGGATCCTTCTGGGCCTAGACATTGTGTCTTTACTATAATGCCATGATCTAGTTATGCTTTCAGGTTGCAAAATGCTTCCCCACCAAGCCCCTTGCTATTTTGGGGAGAGAGACCAGCCCATATCCTGGTGGGAAAGAGGACAGGATGACTACCCATCTAAGAGATCCTGAGTTCCTTGTCTACTGATGGCACATATCTGAAGTCCTCAGTTTGCAATCACTTAAAACAAAAAGTGACCAGATTCCAGAGTCCGGGGACTTTTACCTGACTATAGCTTAAGTGCAATTTTGAGAATCTCACTGTATTGCTTTAATTTTAGTAGGCTGGAGACTGAGATTTTTGGAGAGAAAAGCAAGTATAATCCAGTTCTTGTCTGTGCTAATAGAAGTCCTGTGGCTTGTGAGGATCAACAGATAATGAACATGAAACCATTTTGAAAAAATCCATGAGATATATATTCTTTACACTGACTCTATCTAGCCTCGTGAGGAATAAGATGTTCTGAATACGTGAATGTTCCAGATGAAGGTTACCTAACCCTTGGTCACCAAAATCTCGGAATGTTTACATTTTACTTTATAGAATGTCCTCTTTCCTTCTTGAATAGAACACTCCAAGCACAATTTAACATTTTCTTGGTGACTGAAGGACATAATTTATAAGGATGAGTTACTGTGTTGGGCTGTAAAATAGTATTGTCCTTAATTGGTGGGTGTAGGGTCTCAGACCACTCCAGTTCCAAAATGCTCCAAGGCATTTCTACTAAGCTGGGGGGGGGGTGTCTGTTCTCTCTCAAGGACTATTAACATTTGCAGGGCTGCCAGCCCCCATGCTAAACAACCATGCCCTGCTGCAGCCTCCTGAGTGGTGGCTCTGCAGCTTCCTCTTGGGGCTCTTTCTGTTCTCAGCGGCTGTTTTCAACAGTTGTTCCATGGATTGCTTCTGCCTTTCTCCCTCTTCCTCTTGCTCCTCCTCACTGCACTTACTGCTCTCACCTCCCCACTTCTTGACTCTAATTTAGGAACATGGGATTAGCCAGTTAAATGGGTTTGGGGATAGTATAACATGGAGGTTAGGGATAGAGGCTATGGATTCACGTTGCTTGGGTTTAATCCTCGATCCTCCATTTTCACCTTAAGAACTGAGGTAGTTTCCTCATCTGTACCTCAGTTTTCTTCTCTATAAAACAGAGATATAAATAGCACCGAGCTCATAGGGTTGTTGTGAGCATCAAATGAGCTATCCACCAAAGGCTCCATGTACTGAGCCTGCCATGGAGGTTGGTTACTGTTAATGCTATCACTGGGACAGTGAATTTCGTGGAGCTCTGAGAGGTTTTTGGATGCTATTGGAAGGTTGGTTTAATCAGAAGTCTGACTGATGAGTAAGTGGAAGTTTTGTTGCATTCTTGTGGTGACTTTTATGTTATTGTCCCGACTGATCAAGATGCTGACTCAAAACTGAAACCACTGCCACCATGTGGTAGCCAATAAGAGCCTGATTCCAGGTTTTGTCACTGCATGGACCCAGGGCAGTCCATTCAGAGTGTCCAGCCCTTTTGACTGATTAGGAGGCCTCCTCAAACCAGGCAGGGGAGATGACTACCCATAGACACTTCTCTTTCTGTGCAGAGGGTGTGCCCAGCAGCCCAGGAAGCCTTGGGAGATGTTCCATCAGCAAATCCAGAGCTGTGAGGAGCAGACTACTACTCTGGGACAGGGTCAGGGAGCAGGTGCTGGGGAAGGTGTCCTGCAGAGACCAATGTATGGACTCCAGAGCTCACAGTTCTGAAGTCTGAAAGCCTTAGTGTTCCTGTTTAGAGTCAATTCATGTTCGGAGCATTACTAATGCCAGGCTTTGGGCTGTTTTTACACGTGCTATCTCAATGGGACTGAGTTGGTCCAAGACATGCTCTTCAAAACGACTTTTCTCTCACATCAGCAGCTGCTGTCATTTAACTTCTCTGCCAGGAAGACAACTTTCCTGGGGGACCCAAAAATGACTGTGAGTAGGTACCCTGCTTGAGGAGGGGCCTTCATTGGCCAGTGCTGATTCTCCATTTTGGATTCCTGGGGCGGGGGGGATTTCACTTGCTTAGATTTGTTCCTAATCTCTGGGGGAAGAAAGTAGAATCACATTTTTTTAAAGGTTCAGAGCTCTAGCTTGTGTTACAGTTCAAGTTCATTCAATGTATAGCCAATGGATGGTGATGAGAAGATGGGGTCCAGGCTCTGCCTGAGTTCTGGTCCTCGTTCTAATACCTAGAAGCACAATGACATCACATAAGCCATTTACCTCCAGGCTCACTTTCCTCATCTTTAAAAGGAAAAGGCTGAGGGTTTTATGCAATAATTCCAGATATGATAAGTAAACAATAATCATTATCATGATAGCACCATTATTGAACACTTAGTATATGCCAAGTATTTTACACAAACGATCTCACTCTGTTATCACAACAACCTATGAGTTGGTATTATTTTCATTTTTTTTGATGGTTAACTAAAGTTTAAAAGGGTTAAGTTGCCCAACTCTATGCATCCAGCAAGTGCAGAGCTGGAATATCCAAATTTGTCTCGAATGGGAGTGATGAAGTTGGTTTTTTCAATGCTTTGATTCACATATAAACACAGGAGCATTTTCTTGTGTTGGAACACAAAATTGAAAACCTTTATACCTTCCAGGCAGCTAACCAGGGGCTTATGTTGTCCTGTTCATCATGTCCTGTTATGTTTATCCCTGATGGAAGACACTAGTTTCCTGTGTGGCCTTACCTTGCTTGGCAAAAGGCATGGTGTCATCAAAGTCTCTAACAGGCCACCCACCATGGAAAGGAGTGAGGGTGGGAGCAGATTCTTCCCTTCACCAAAGCCCAAAGACTAAACTGATGCTCCTATAGGACATTAGGCTATGGCAGGAGACAGGAGGAGCTGTTCCCAGTTTATGTACTTAGTAAAAGTTAAATGCAATCGTTCCTGTCATGCCTGACTTTATCCCAGCATTACTGTCCCTGGAGACATAGGAAAGGCTATTCAAAGCAGGGCAGAAATAGATTGTCCCCCTCCCCCTTGTAGCAAAGGTAGCAGAAGAGGTCACCCATGAGCAGGTCACCAGGAGCATTTAGGTGTTAGGCCTTGGCCTGGCTGGTGTGGACTTGTGAAGAAGAAGATAGGTTGAGGAAAGGGCCAGTGAGTCTCTGTGGTGTCAAGGTGGCCATCCCCAGGGCAGCTTGATGCCCTGACCATATGTTATTTCTAACACTTTTTAACTTCATCGGAGCAAAGGCTGAAATTAGGCAAACTTTATACTTGTAGCCAAGTAGATAAATTTAAAGGAAAGTATATTCCATCTCCTCTATTCGCAAATAATCTACGGCTTTGAACAGCTAAGCGCCATTTCCATTCAGAAAAAGGGCATATGAGACACGGACTGCAGAGTCTATGAATTAGAATCAAAGACAATTTTATTTTTAGTTTGTGTTTGTTTACTTATATTTTAAATCAAACTCTTATTACCCCAGTCCATTCAACAGATAGCATAAAAGCTATCTGAAGTCTTTTTGTTAGCCTGCCACAATGGTAATCAGGCAAGTACCTACTGGCAAGGCAATCCCTACTGCCAAACCCTTTCGACTCAAGGCTCTCACCATGCAGCTCCTCAGGTAGAAGGAGAAACATCCTGCCTACCTGAATAGCTGTTTGAGGGTGGGAGGGGCTTGGATGAGCTAGCAGGAGACAGGCGGGCCTAAGAACCTCCTCGTGAAGCCCAAACCAACAGATTAATCCTTGTACATTTGATCCTCTGTCCAGCCAGGCCAAGGACACTCACTTCAAGGCTCCCGAGGTAGCCTCTTATCCCAGGTTCATCAGAGCCAGAAAAAAGAATAAAGCCAGGAATAGCAGAAAGAGTAAATAAAATAAAATCAAGACCTTTTTCCTTGGTCCTGCTTACCCGCTAAGAACACCGAGAACCAAGTTAAGTACAAAAAATGACCCTATGATGATTAGTGTAACAAAATAGATCCAGGGCCAGTCCCTTCCTACGGCATCATTGACCTGGAAGAATGGAATGATAGTTAGTGAGGCACACTCAGCAGCCGAGCACGGCCAAGTGCCCATCACCGGCTCCTGGACACTGACCCAAGCAGTGCCGGGACCCGGGGATCCTCTAGGTGCAAATCAGAGGTCAAATGGCCTGCCCAGCCAATGGGTCAGAATCTGTGGTTGAATGGGGACTTTTTTTTTTTCCCTGGTTTTCCTGGCCTGTTAGGATCCCATCCCTGAGGACCCTGGTGATGGATACAGTGGGACCTGGGACCTTGCTCGGCTGCATTGTAAAGAGTACATAGAAACGGTCAGCTTACCCGCTCAACACACCGAGAACCAGATTTAGAACGAAAAAGGATCCAAAGATGACCAGACTGACAAAATACACCCAGGGTAACTCATAGCCCATAGCGTCCTGCATCTGGAAAGATGAAGGCAGGTTAGGAAAGAGAGAGCAGAATGAGTTAAAGTGAGGAGGCAGGCAGGAAGGGTGTGGACAGAACTGGAGGAGACCAGCGAGGCTGAACCAGGATTCACTGTCATCTCTGGCACCCTCGATATTCAAAATACTTCCCCATGACCCTGACCTGAACCATAAGGGACGTTTGCAGGCTCTGAATTCTGGCTCTGTTGTTTTATTTTCCGGAACCAGAAAACTTTCTTCAATGTTTTCACTTGTCTAATAAGGTGGGTTACCTAAAAAAGTGATTTTTTCAGCCTAGGGTGGTTTCAGCTCAGTTGGGTTTATGTGGCATGAAATCTTCCACTGCACCCCGGGCCAGCCTAACCTTGGTGTCAGGAGGGCCTCGGCTCTTCCTGAAGGAACCAGACACCCAGAACCTTTGAGGATACGTGAGGGAGGAGAGCCCTTCCCGGGGGCTTTCCTGAGCTGGCCCTGGAATTTAGAAGCAAAACTGCGGTGCTTCACAAGCACTCCAGGCCACAGCCCAGGAAGGACGGTTGTTTTGGTTACTTTTGCAGAGAACAGTTCCTATCCTGCAACCTCTTTTCCTGTAGCCTGGAGACTGTGACCAGTACCTAACTGTGTAATGGAGACAGCCTCTGACAGGTGGCAAACCCCTGCAGTCCCTGGAGGCAGTGGTGTGCTGGACCTGGCTCCTCTGGCCTTTGGAGAACCACCGCACATCTCTTCCCTCGTTCGTGTTCAGTGATGTCACTAGGGTAGCCCGAAAATGGCCATGGTGGGGCAGAGTGGGCAAATGACAGAGATCAGCCCCCCTTTGCCCTTTGCCCCTAAGAACTGGTGGTTAAACATTTACCAGCACACAGCTGGCTGGAGGGTAGGTGTAAACATGACGTGAAGACACAGAGCAGCATTTTTTATCAAATAGGAAATTTGTTCTGGTTTAGTTTCTCAAATCTATTTCTTTTAGTGCTTTCCAACTAGACTAAACAGGATTTAGTCATATCTTTCTAAAATGAACCCCAACTTTGTCTCTGTGAAATTGCCTTACAGGAACCCAAACTCCTAATATACGAGCTTCCCAAATGATTGACATTAGTGGATCTCATAGTGTGGCCCTGTTTAGAAATGCACATGCTCGGCCCTCCCTGAAACTCTGCGGGTGGGCCCAACAACCCATGTTTTAGCAAGCCCTACAGAGAGTCTGATGTATGTTAAAGTTTGAGAACCAATGATTTACACCATGCTCCATAGCTCTCAACTTCAAATATAAGGACACGACAAATACTGTGATTCACTACCTGTCTCTGCTTTGTTGCATGGCAGTTTTCATTAAAGTGTGGTCTGAAGACCAGCAGCATCCGAATCATCTGGAAGAATTGTTAACAACGCAGATCCCTGGGCCATTGCTCCCAAATCAGTGAGCCTTATGACTCTGCGTGTTAATCACCCAGGGTATTCTAAAGCCAGGGGCCTCAAGCGAGTTACACATGGGATGGGATAGTACCTCCCTCAGCCCTCAGGGCTTCTCAGGCTCCAAAAAACCTTACCCATGTGCCTGAGAATGCTGGACAAATACTATGTTCTCTGTGTGCTGTGAGTAAAAAAGATCGAGAAGTACCGGGAGACCTACTTAGTTGGACTGGTCTGAAGTGTTACATCCCAATATGTTATTTTCAAATCTAATACTATTTATCTGGCGTCACTATATTTTGGGTAGAGGAATCTACCAAATGTGGCACAGAACACAAAAATTGTGTTCAGGGCTTGGGGACATTGGTTTGAACTCAGTCACTGAGCAAAAGAAGAGTTCCCAACGTATGTCTACTTTACCATGTCATAATTCAATTCAATTCAACATGAATTTATTGAGCATTCCCATTCCCACATACTCTGCTGTTATTCACATGGTGCTTATCACCTTTTAACTGTATCATTTATTAATTTATTATGTGTTTGTCTTCCATGTAGAATGTAAGCTCCCTGAGGACAGGCAGTTTTGGTCTGGTTTGTTCACTGGTGTATCCCAAGTGCTGAAAACAGTGCCTCACACATGGCAGGTACTCAGTGCATGTTGAGTGAATGTATGAACTTGATACGTGCCAGGCACTGCGCTATAAATAGGAAGCCCTTGCTAGCATGGGGACAGATAAATAAAAGGCAACTACAATGTGAGGTGGTAAATGAAGTTGTAGGAATAAACATGGAGGGTTCTAGAAGTGTAGGGGGAAGAGTGGCTGTCTGAGGCTTGGAGAAGCAAGCAAGTGCCAGACCAGGCAGGAATGGCTAAATCTTGCACTGTAAGTCCACTGAAGGCAGGAGTGTAGGGGCAGGAAGGAAGCCCAGAGGCCATGTGGTCCTGGGATGGGAGTGGGGGTTTCCTAGGAAGTTGGCAATTATTAAAAATAGAGCCCACATCTGAAAAGCCATCCTGGCTCTGGGATGGAGGCTTCTTGCCAGTGGCTGAGGACTAAAATATCCAGCAAAACAGTGGTTGTTAGGAGAGGCAGGGCAGAAAGTTCTGTGTGTGTCAGACCTTGCCCCATCACAGGGAGCCTGGGAGCCTCCTTTAACCAGAAATTTACTGTCTGAAGCAAGGCTACAAAGGAAACCAAACCAGCAGAGGAAAGTCCAATAACCACCTAGGAGGAGAAAAAGAAATCTGTACCCTTATAAGAAGGAGCAGGACTGGTGAAATGAGGTTAGGGAGGAGAAAGGCATAGGCATGATGGCGATCTTACCAACCATACGCCACATAATGATTGTAAGGATGGCCATGTGATTTCAGGGTCTGTATGTCACATTTTATCTTGGGGGACAACGACAGAAGCCTTTCACTATTCTTTTTTTTTTTTTTTTTAAAGATTTTATTTATTTATTTGACAGAGAGAGACACAGCGAGAGAGGGAACACAAGCAGGGGGAGCGGGAGAGGGAGAAGCAGGCTTCCCGCCGAGCAGGGAGCCCAATGCAGGGCTCGATCCCAGGATCCTGGGATCATGACTTGAGCCGAAGGCAGACGCTTAACGACTGAGCCACCCAGGCACTCGCCTTTCACTGTTCTTAGCAGTGGTCTCATTGGAGTCCACATTGGTGCCACGGTGCTTCCGGAGTGCCTACTGTGTGTAAGACACTGTGTGCTGTGCCAGTGAGAGTGATGGGGTTGAAACAGCCGTGGGATAGGAGAAGGCATCTGTGAGGAGGTGTTTATGGAAGCAGGATCCAAGGTCAGGAAGCCTTTAAGTGTCCTAGCTTTTCCTTTCTCAGATTAAGTCTGGCCAGTGAAGGTCAGAGTCCTCTCCTCTTCCCTAAGTTAGGGAGGGTGGGGAGGTCAGGAAGAGCTGACGGAAGCTGTGGACTCCCACGTGAGAGAAGGTGCACACCCATGGCACTCCCGCATACAACCCCATGGGTGCATGGACCCCGTGTTTCTGACCAACCAGATGCTCTGTGCTAATCTCAGAAGGGCTTTTCCCAAGAGTGGCAGAGGGGGCCTGTTCTTGTGAGTTCTCCTGCTTTGCCCCGGATCTCAGACCTCCTTACTTTCCTCAGAACAGAAGGGAACAGGTAGTTGCAGGAGGCAATGGCACGCTTGCTGCAGTTCACCCTCCCAGAGCTGCCTCTGGAGCCCAGGCAGATGGTGAGTGGGTGTGAGGGCTGGCTGGCACTAAACCAACCTCCTTGGAATGAAATATCTCCTGACTGGTTCCTCATAACCCTAAATTTGTGAACATTTAACCTCACAGAAAATATAGTTCCCCGAGCCACATCTCTCTCACAAGTCAACAAACTCATGGACCTTGAAGATTTCCCTGGGCCCTTATTCAGTTAGGGTGTCCTTTCCTTTGTGTCACAGGTGAGTGACTTCCAGCATCATTAAGGACCTCAAATGGATGGAACTACAAGCCATATTGCCCATAGATAACTCATAGAGAGCCTTGTGATAACCTCATGACCCATAGATATCTCATTGATATCATGATAACCTCATGACCCACAGATATCTCATTGATATCCTCATGATAACCTCATGACCCATGGATATTTTCTATAGATATCCCATAGAGAGCCAGGGCCATATCCAGGAGACTCATGGTCTCTACCTCTCCCTTGTCCTATGCTTCTGCTTTGGTCTCTTCCTTGCTGTGAGACAGTTCTTTCAAAGGTTTAAGATGCAGAATAGCAGGTGAGGGGCAGGAGGTAGGAAGACAGATGGGAGATTAACGAGCTTCCAAGGTATTCCTAAGACCCCATCACTTCCTCAGCAAGCAATGCTTGGCAGCCCTTGGTGGGTGATTCTCTGGTCTGTCTGGCTCTGGCCTGAGAGGAAAGCACCCCTTTTGTTTTCTCTTTCACTTTCTCCTCTTTATTCTAGGCCACCTACTTTTGGGGGCAGACTGGGTAGACAGCCTACAATGCTGGGTGACTCTGAAGTAGAGCAATGCCTGGAGTGATGAGATTGATGTCTTAAATCAGCTGGAATGGAACTATTAAGAAGAGAGAGAATAAATAAAGACGTATTTTTAAAAAATGACCTAGATTGCTGACACCCTTATTTAGAGATGAAAAAAGATAGGTTTTCTCAA